ATTTTAGTATAGATAATATACAGCTGATATCATAGCTAATTAAGATAAGGTATATAAAATTTTATAATTAAGTTTATTATATTTAATATAAATAAATATAAAAAAGTAATCTGAAAATTTTAGTTTGTTATAATTAAGGTTGCTAAATAAAATCTAGAGGTTTTGCTAATTATCTAAATAGAAAAAAGTAAAATTTAATAAAATTATATTAAATCTTATTAAAAAATCTACGAAATTTTAGAAAAGGTAAAACTATATTAAAGTTTATAAAAATGTAAAATTATATCAAAATCTTAGTAAAAACATAATAAAACTATAGTTTAAACTTTTTTGCTAAATCTAAAATAAGTTTAGACAAATAATCTTAGTTATAATCAAACTTCAATATATATAGATTTTTTATAATCAGCTTTGATTGTATATATTCTAAATATGATCTTTAGGTTAAAATATATTCAGATTTAACTTTAACTTATTTTTTATTTTTTTAGCAGTTTTTTTCTTTTTTTATAAAGATTTATTTTATTTTTATTAAAATAAATATTTAATATTTTCTTTAAAGTTATATATTATTATTTAAATAAAAAAAAATTATATTATTATTTTTAATAAATAAATTAAATTAAATTAAATTAAAAATTTTTTTATTATTATATTTATTATTTTAAATTTATTAATTTTTTTTTAAAATAATATTTTTAAAAGTTCTATAAATTTAATTCTATAATAATCTTTTTTTATTAATAAATGTATTTTTTATAAGCTTAATAATCTTTAAATTATTAAAATAAAGAGATTTTTTTTATTTATTTATTTTTGATTTTTATTTCAAATTTTAAAATAAATTTTATAAACTTTTTATTTTATATTTATACTAATATTAGTTTTAGCAATTTTGGATATTTTGCAATAGAAAAGAAAGAAATTTCAAAAAAATTTTTAAGTTAATATTAAATTTAAACTAATGTACTAAAAAAAAATCATGTTTAAACTTATAAAATTAAAAAAAATTTTTAGTAATTTTTTTCTTTTTTACTATAAAACATCTATTTGGTTAAGATTAATTGACTGTTTGGTCAATTAATTAAGCAAAGAGTCAAAAAATCTTTGGCAATCAAATTCTAATAATTATTAATATATTTATTAGAATTTAATTATTTAGTTGAAATTTATCTTTTTAATTATTTATTATTTGATTTTCAAATATTAATATTTAGCAAAATTAAATTATTAAAAAAAAAAAATTTAATATATTTATAAAAAAAAAAAAAAGCTAAAAATATTAAATTATTAAATTATTAAAATTATTATCTGATTTAAAATAAAGTTAATATAATTTAAATTATTTGATATAATTTGTATAAATTAATAATAATTAATATTAAATTTAATAAAATATATATATATAATTTAACAAATTTAATTTATATTTATAAATCTAATAATTTTATAATTATATTTAAGTTATGTATTATCCTTATATTAAGTTTATTATAAAGAATTGTTTTATTGATTATATATTATGCTATAATTATGATTTCTATTAAAAACTTAAATTACTATTTGTTAAATAATTGTTTTTTCTCTTGCAAAAAATTTATTAACTAAAAGAAATAATAAACAAATTATAATCATTTAATTTCAAATTAGCATAAAAGAATATATTTATATTATAAAAAAAGAACAAAGACATGAAAATATATAGAAATAAAAAAAAAAGTGAAAAAAGGTGAAAAATTATATATATATATATCAAATTACATATTCATAGTCCCATAATTGAGAAATGAAAATTATGCTCACGCATCTTAGAACTAGATACAAAAAAGTTTAGTATATAAACAATAATTTCATCTAACATCTACAAATTACCAGATCGGTGAAGATTATTGAAGAAATAAAACAATTGTATACTTTATACTAAGTATTAAAGAATCTTCTTAAGAAACCCCTAAGACTAAATAATATATTAAAAAAAACCCCCGACAGATTGTGTGAAATAATGTTCACTTGAATTATAAAACCCTCGATAAAAAAAGGTAAATCGAAAAAGAATTAAGGATCCAATATATTTAACAAGATTACGACAATCCTTTAGCCACCCTATGCTTGTATTTCAACAAATCTAACAGCAGCCTCCACTTTGTTGTTGGGGTACCGATGTACCGGGTCCAACTTTAACGGTTTGCTTCGGAGTTCCATTGGAGACAGTTGTTGTGCCCATCCTGTTAAAGAATAAATATGGTAAATTATAACGTGTATTCAAAAGAAAGTCAACAATTTGGAAATTTTTTTTTTTTGTTTTTAATACCTGTCCTTAATTTGTTTGGCCATTGTCAAGAAAGCTTGTTCAACATTCGTAGCGTTCTTCGCCGAAGTCTCCAAGAATGGAATATTCAATTGATCGGAAAATTCCTAAAAAAAAAAAAAAAAAAAAAAAAAAAAAAAAAAAATTAAATAAAAAAAGTTAACTTGAAATAAAGTTCAAAGCTTCAGTAAATCTGATCATGTTGAAATTGACAAGCACCTTAGCAACTGTGTATTCCACTACTTTTTTATTCGCCAAATCGCTCTTATTTCCAACCAATAATTTATTAACACCTTCACAAGCATAACGGTCAATTTCCTGAAGCCATTGTTTAACATTGGTAAAGGTATCTTGATCAGTAACATCATAAACAACAATGATTCCATGGGCTCCACGATAATAAGAAGAAGTAATTGTACGGAATCGTTCTTGTCCAGCAGTATCCCACTAATATTTAATAACAATTAGTAGTTGTCCTTAATATTGCAGAATAACTTTACACTATGAGGTAACATACGATTTGTAATTTTACGGTTTTGCCTTCAAGATCGATTGTTCGGATTTTCTAAGTATTCAAATAACAGAGAAATATCCGCATCGTTAGATTATATCTTTCAGGTTTACTCTTCCATAGAAATTTAAAAGCCAATAAAGACAAAATACTGTTACTTATATTGTAATAATCACTTACAAAATCAACACCAATAGTACTAATATAACTCTCCGTATATGTATCATCTGCAAATCGAAGCAGCAAGCATGATTTCCCGACACCAGAATCACCTATCAACAGAAGTTTGAAGAGATAGTCACTATAGTTTATAAATAAATAATAAAAATATTAGTTACATTTAACAAAATGAAGTTTATGTATATAGAAATTTTTGTTATTTGAAAAATAGACAACAAAGTTCACGATTTAACGTGGCGAAGAATAGCAACGAGATGATGACCACGAGTAAAAAAATAAAAAGAATACGAAGGATAACATAAATAGGAACGAAATTCATAAAGCTAACAGTTGCTTTATAAATCAGGGTTGTTAGTTCTTAGTTATGTCAATAGTATATTAGGTTTCTCAAGGTCATCCAAATCATAAATCTAGTTCACACAATGCAGTTCAGAATGTAAAAACCTCAAAGTTCGAATGAAAACACCTCTAATGCCAAGGAGCAAAGGAGGCCTTTACTTACTATTCTGGATTCATATTGTCAGTTTGTGAATAGTAGTCAAATGGGCAAAAGTAAGTGTAAATTGACCGATAGAGAAAGGGTTTATGGTCTTTGTGGTCACGATAAGAAAGATAACTACTAACCACTACTTTGAAAACTATAAAGGAAGGAGGTTAAGTGGCGATGTCTTGATTATATATCATAATATAACATGTGGCGAAGAAAAAGGGAAGCCGCATGATTAACGATTGGCGGATGTTAAATTATGTTTCAGTTCATGTGATTGATGTTGATTCAACCCTGATTTAGTAATGATTTATATGAATGTTATGAGGCTGATGTCATCTCAAAAATGTGATCGATGAAAGAATAATCTTGTGATCACACATACTAGTAACATTTTATCAAGATTCTTACTCACTGCCCGAATTGCCTCATCGAGACTTCTGATTCGACAATAAAATGGTTCGAATAAATTGATCACTATTTAGAATTTATTTATATATATAAGCATTAAGTATCTCATGTTTGGCAGCAATATAACTAGAGTTGCCATCTCCGCTATGTCCCTTGAATTCCAATAAATTTCTGAACACATTTTCCAGCCACGCGAAGTCGCAGATGTGGAATGATATCATCTTCGTAATTTCCTCATTGTCGTTACTTGTGGTTTTAAAGACGTATCGGTGCCAAAGATCCGTCTTGCAATCCCTCCATATTTTCCTTAATGATATTTGAGTAATTGTTAGATTTAAATTCTCTCGACAGTTATTAAGTTCATCCAAATTGGCATGATAAATTTTATGCAACTTGGGTATCTGGGAGAACTTTCAAATTTTTCATCCATCAAAATCAGAAGCTTTACTCCATCAATTATTATTGTCTTTTCCCGCAAATTCCCTACTTAGATTATGAATCTACCTTCTATAATGAACCATCAGGATTAATCAATGTTGTGAAATCTGCATAATCCATTGGGATGACTAGTCATTCTAAGCATGTGACAACGCCTAGGTTTCCAATGAAGCAAGCATCAATCATGATTATAATAATGTATAATATTTCCTATTATGTATAGTTGTTTCTTTATTTCTTGTAATTCTTGGAAATTCTAGCACATTAAACACAAGTTGAATAAGATTTAGAAACCTCTTTCGTTAAGACACACATAATACAAAAAGAGAGAGAGTTTATTAATTATGGAATATGGATGCAATAAGCATTATCACAATGTTGATCAATCGTCGATCGTATGTATAGCCAATAATTTTTATTATACATTCATTGACTATTTAGGAATATTTCAATAAATAATAAAGTAGCCATGGAGGTGGTAACACGGTAATTAATCCAATTTATAGGATTTTAAATTTATTGATTGTTTAGTCACGTGATATTTCCGTTTATCACGTCATATTTAATGGATAGATCAAAACAAGACTATGATTCACAAAATTTTCATTTTCTAGCCGAAATTATTGTAAAAATTTCAATATGACACATTTCACGTAAACAAAGGCATGGTCACGAAGAAGATTTTGCGAAATGTTCTGGCTATTCGTATCAAAAACAGCTATAAGTTACGTGACTTCCTCAAAGCTTTCTCAGATTGGTCTTTCCCAAAGGTGTGTCAGCTTTACGGACTCGGTGAAACGAACGACCTATCAGCTTTCACGTGCAAGTATAAGATATGAAGACGAATCTTCCAGCTTAAACACCTTACGGAAGGCCTGTCTCAAGACGTTCCAATCAGCGGAAATGAAGCATCGAAATCGCAATGTGTAGACTTACTTCAAACCGCTGGTGTGACTGAAGTAAAGGACAAGGGTTTTTTAAAGAGTATTGCACAGAATGCACTTTGAACGTGGAGTAATTTGCAACAGCAAAAGTTTAATTATCAGAACCGGATAATTATAGCGTAACTTCATGGATAACTCCACAGTTACTATAGCAGTGCATCGACTTTGCGACTTCGTGGCAAAATATCTAATCAATGCATTGTTTACCGTGAACTGTGGAACATCTCTGATAACCCGTGAAATTACTACCAATAATCTAACAGAAGTAAATCAAAGTTTAGTATGTGATGGGTCATGCGTATGATATCATATGGATGTATTAACACTTGATATAATTACGCGACGAGATTCATCCGACATTAGTAAGTACCAAAGGCTTGTCCTGCCAGGTTTCGCCATAAGCTTATTTTCATATTTTCATGTCTTTTAGTCTTTAACATGTCAAAAAGAAAAGCTTCAGAAGACAAAAAAAAACGGAATTTCTTTGTTTTACTTAAATATCATGGTAAATGTTGTATCTTACGATGACAATTGTAATTTCTAACAATAAACCTCATCGACAGAATTCTGGGAAAAACCTATTTCTCAAATGGGGTGTAACACGTAAAAACACGTCTAACAATGAAAAAGGTTAAGGACGATCGATAAGACGAAAATACTATCTTTATAAGACCGTTAAAAAAGACCGATCCTATGATCAATCCTGTCGATTCGTCCCAAAAAAAAGATTGGTATAAGACCGGTCCTATAACTGAACCAATGGGTGGATCGGATGTTCCCATCCCTAATTGTTGGTAAATTTCGTAGGTAATTCTCTCTCATATATTTTTTTAGGTCGCGATGCATCCACGCAGTGATGTGGTGGGACAGCGTCCCACAAGATTTTAATGTCCCGTCCAAGATAATTGTCCCAGTAATTACTAATTATTCAAAATTACAATATATATATATTCTAAAATGTCCCAGACATCATAAAGTCTTTGTCCAAGGACTTGGACTGTCCCATCCAAGGACATGTCCCGTCCTAGTCACAACACTGCATCCACGTGGCGCTAGTCACCTGACATCGGAGGCGAAATCCAACCAAAAATTTAGCACGTCTCCCAATTAATGGGATCCCTTACAATATCATAAAGCATGGGAAGCAGCCAGTCTTCCAATGAAAAAAGGGACGGTAAAACTAGCCTTCCAGAATCAACTGCAATGGTTCGAGTCGAATGGTTCTGAGGAGGAAAAGAAGGCTGGCAACGAAGCTCTTGGAGAAATTTCAGGTGATTTCAATTGAATTTTTTCTTGTAAACTCTGGGTAAACAGTGGCAGTTGTGACAGAAATTCTGGGGAATTACGGTTCTGCCCAGTTTTCTGCTGTTCTGATATACTGATTTTTGTGAGATTATAATCCTGCACAGTTATAACTGCTCATTTGCTGCAGTCTTATCCAATCAAGCATAGAATACTGAAAAGTTGAAAGGGATTACCAGAGGACTAAGGTCCTGCCTGATACTCTATCTTCCAACTGAGATGCAATATGATGATAGTCCCTAGCAGTGCTATCTGTTTACTCAAGATAGAACATTATTTAATTCTTTTGGCGTTATGTTATGTTTTTAGATTGATATGAAGAAGAATAGTCACATTTATAATTATTGGGAAAAGATTATACATACTTCATCAATCAATAAGAAAATTCAGGAAATTGGGATAAATGTTCCTTCTTCAGTAGTTCAATGTACCAAATCTGTTACTGATTTTATTATGAACAAAAAAATTAACACTTGACATTAGCCACTATGACATCTAAACAGATGAGAATATATCTAAGGTAGTCTACTATTAACATTATCAATCAGTTTTCAAACAAAAATACAAGCTTGTTAAGTTGATCAAGACAGGTAAGTACTGATTATTATGTACAGTATGATATAGTGAGAAAGATATATTAACTTCTATTATGATTTATGCTCCAATGATGATATGCATTAAGGATGAAGTTTCTGAGCTTGATCTGAAGTCCAATTTGCAAAAGATGAAACAATAGGGAAAAACTTGATTCATAATGAAAATGATGATGCAAAAGAGATGACCTAATGAGACCTTAATAAATTCAAGGATGCATTCTTGAAAATGGAAGATTCAAAAAAGTAGATAATTAGTACTAGAATTATAGTAAAAGATACGTTTTATCATTTTGGTATTAAATGTTCACATGAACAGTAAGTATTAGTATTGTTACACTTTGTATAAAATCTTGGTTTACTTTGATACTTAATATTATTTTGCAGTTTTTAAAGCCTTTGCCACTTATTTATTGTCAATCTTGATAATGAAAACTGTGTCAATGATAAGATTTTCACAGAAACGAAACTCAATGAAATTAGTAAATATAAGGTGAAACAAATGTTACAATTATATGTCACCCTAATAAGTATATGTGAGTTGATAAATAAAATCTGGCTACTATTTTTTACAGGTGACTAGTATTTCAGATAAAATTAGTTTTATCAAATTAATCTGCAAAAATCTTTCAATATTTAGGATTTCAGAGGTGTCAGAGAGTTTCAGATCATAGAAAATTTTTCTGGATGAAACATTTCAGATGTTGAAAATAGTTTTGCCTGAAATACTATAGGTAATGCTAAGCTATTCAAGTATCCACTGGTAGTCATATGATTTATTTGATAGTGTGCTGATTATGATGTTGTAACTAAATGATAAGTATAGTATTTATAAGTAAATTTTCTTATGATTGGCTATTACAAATCAATTTAAATTGGATATTAATTATACAATTTAAAGTAATATTTCAGAAAATGATGTTACATTTAGTAAAAAAAAATTTTTGCATACTGTTTGATTTTTTAGAATGTTAAATAACTACTTATAAAATAATTCAAAATAATTCTGATTTTAAAAGAGTTTATTTAGAGATAATATATTATAATAATGAAGTTTAAAGGTTTTTATATTATAAAACTTGTTTTAAAACTTTTAATAATCCAAAAAAGTAATAAAACTTGTATTTAAAAAAGTTAAAAAAAATTTAAAATCCTTTTTGTATAATATAAAAAAATAAAACCAATAAATAACTAATAATTTATAATATTTTATTGTTTTTATAAAAGATATAAAATTTATATGAATTATTATTATATATTAAATTTGTATATGATTTAGATTATATGATTAAATTTATTATTTTATTATTGATTAATCTTTTTATTGATTGTATTTATTATTAAAATGCTAATTAATATTTTAAACAAATTAGAAAAAGCCTTTTTATAAATGTAGTATAATATAAATCAGAGTTATATTAAATATATTTAAATAATAGAATAATTAAATGTATTGTATTAGATTTGAATAAATGATATGATATAAATATGATTTTTTTTAATTGATGATGAATATTTAGTAGGAGTATTATTGTAGAATTTAGTTAGTTTAGTATTTGATTATAAGAGTATTATAAATTTATAATTTAAATAAATTGAATGGATATTTTATAAACTTAATAATAGTGAATATATTATAAAAATAAGTAAGAATTTATTGTAAATATAGTTTCTATCAATTGGTATTCTAAGATTACATTAGGATCAATCATAAAGCAGACCTATCAAGGTGAGATATATTAATATTATTCCAGTTAGAGTATCTACTAAAAGTGACATAAGTTTGACTAGTTAAGAATATATTTTTATCTAAAGTGAGAATTACTTTAGGTAAGATTAATTTTTGACTTTTGTAAACAGTAAATGCAAATAATTTTGTATTAGAAATTAGATTCAACAACAATTTTTTTGCTAATTTTAAAATAATAAGTATATTTTTTAAATATCTAAATCTATATTAGATCTTTGAATAGAGAAGGTAATATATGCAAACTGTTCTATTAAATTTACATTAATAATTACATTTTACTGTACCATTATATATTCCTTGATCAATAAGAAAATTGTTGAGATATATAACATGTATGTCTAATTGTAATCTGATACAAGATGATAAGTTAAGTTTTTTTTAAATATCTTATTATATAAAGATCAGTTTAATAATACAAAACTTACAAAATCAGAAGTTTAAGAAAGTAAAAATTTATTATTAAGAACTGAAATGGTATTATAAACCATTATATTAATTGTTTAAGCATTTTTTTTAAATTTAACAATATATATAATATTAAGAAATATTTCAACTGCAGATCTGATTAAAAATTTAGAATAATATTATTATAAAAAGGTTTAGATTTTAGTGAAAATATTGCATATTCATATTCTTCTAAAATGTGATAAAATCTTAAATCGTTATTTTGATATTATAAAGTTCTTAATAATAATGGATAGAATAATAATTAAGTAGTTATACAAAATACAGGTTGACTAATTATAAGCAGAATTTATATTAGATCATCTACTATTATAATATTTATATCATTAAAAGTGATAACATTATTATAAAAATTTGCAAAGACATTTAAGATAAAATCTTACAGTTCAGCAAAAATTATAAATATTTCTTCAATAATTAAAGTATCAATTTTATTTAATCAGATTTTTAATTTATTATCTGTATAAGTACATATGTAAAAATTTTTTTATTTAGTTATGATTTGTAATTTAAAATGAATTATTTTACTATTTATATTTTGAGCAACTATTCCTGTTGGTGCTAAAAGTAAGTAAGTAGAATATTTTTGATTAAGCATATTAGTTATTCTAGTACTAGTTGAATCTGTTATAAGAAAATACAGCTATTTTATCACATTATTTCTTTTTAAATATATTATCTCTTAAACTGTAGAGATTTGCAGACAATTTGCCTGCTTATTTATTATAAATTTCCTTCTGATTTATTTTTATAAAAAATTAAATTTTCTAAAAATTTTTTTTTTAAATTAATTTTATAAATATATATAATATTATAGTAAATTTTATTTATTAATTATATAATAAATAATTTAAGACTTATAAGCTAAAAATTTGTAATTTTTAAAAAAATTATAAATTAAAAAATTTTATTATTGACCTTTAGTTAACTTATTAATATTTAACTTTTAATAATATTAATTATAATAAAATATTATAAAATTTATCATATAGAATAACTTTAATTATTACAGTTTTTATAACTTATTAAGAAATTTTATGACTTTTATTAATAGTACAGTGACTCAATTAGTTTGTAAATATATAAATTTTAAGAAAATTTTTAAAAAATTATTATAATAAAATATTCAAACTTTATTTTAAAAAATTAAATTATTTAATAAACTTCTTAATAAACTTAAAATTTCTTTTAATAAAGTTGATAAAATATATATTAAATTATATTTTTTATATAATAATTATATTATTAATATTAATGTTTTATTTTTATTAAAAATTAATACTTTTTTTTATATTTGTAAGCAAATTTGCCTATTTATAGTTTAAGAGATAATACTAGATAATGTGCAGTATTAATCTTTGGTAGTTTTAACATACAGTTGTGAAAAAACTAACAATTTTTTTTATAACTTCATAATTTTGTGAGTTTTGCATCTAAGGATATAAATTTAGTATCATTAGATTCATCTCAATAAGATGAATTTAATAAGCTATAATTCATTTTTTTGTGATTACTAGATGTAAAAAAATATCATAAAATGTCATATATAATACACGTCAATAAACACTGCTAATTTATTTAGTACTTTATCCCATAATTATACAAGCTTTACACTTAAATATATGAATTTATTACCATTCAATTTATCTTAATGGGACGATTCTAATGAACTATATTTTATCTTCATATAATTACTAAATACAGTATAATATAGAAAAATATATAGAAGATTATTAAAAAATAATTTTTTTTTTATTTATATTTATTTTCAAAATCTATTTTGAAATACATAGAATTAGTGATAAAAAATAATTATTGCATAATAAACTATTAAATAATTATTATATCTTAAAATATATGTCATAAGGTACAATATATTAAAATTTTAAGGTTTGTTAAATAAAAATCACATGAGATATTCACTATTATTTAATTGTCAATTTTTTTCACCAGAACTGTAACAGTTTCTAGAATTATGTAAGAAAGTTTCTTTTGATAAAAATAAGTGTCACTAATATATATAAATGTAAAATAGATACTAAAATAATTTTGTTAATTATATTATGATAATTATAAGTACTAGGATAAAGTAAATTTTTTGTTAATAGTAGAAGATTTATATTATTTTCAGAGTTAAGTTGAGTTTATCATATTAATTATTATGTATTTTGATGATGTCTCAATTTTTTCAGTTAAAGGTAGAATTATAAAGGCTAATAGTAATGAAGTTTTACTTTAGATCAAAGATTATTTAATCATAATTTAATATATTTATCATATGTTTTATCATGAATTTTATTACATTATCTTTGCAGCTCTAAAATATTGTAAAAGTAATTTTTTACATTAATGAAAATATTTAGAAATAGCAATAATTCTAGATTAGGATTGTGAATTGAAATTGGTAATCATAAGTTATTATTTTATTATACAAA